AGAGATATTGAGAATAATCGCTGATCGGCGCATCTATTTCATCAAAATTCTACGGGACTTCTTAGATTATATAGACATCGACTTCGAATCTTTCATTGCTCAAATACTCCGTTATGCAATTCACATACAACACACGTATATACACAGGCAGAGTCATGCATTCACCATCTCGCGCTTCATATTATGCATCATACGTACAAATCTAAGCAGATGATTCAATCGATTTTCGAGAGAGAAAGACAGAAACGCGGGAGGGATTCCTAAATGCTTAAGAAAGTTTATTCTCTATTCGCTTAGATCGTAATCGCAATTTTCCTCGATTCGTAATATGCCTCGAAATACGAAATATTTCATCAGAAGAGAGCGCTCTTCCTAGAATTAATAATTCTAGGAAGAGCGCTCTCTTCCTAGAATTCTAGAAAATTAGCTGTTCTTTTATTAGAATTATATTTTCCCACGAAATTGCATTTTTATCTCTTATTAAAATTATTTATTGCACTGTTTTACGAAATAAAATTTTACGTCGTTATTCAGACGTTTAAAAATATCTGGAACACAGAATTTATTTCGCACAAATAAAAATAAACGGGACATTACAGATGTCTAACACAGTTTATAAAAAGCCGAGAAATCGGAATCTGTCACTGACTTTGATATCAAATTCAGAAGAGGAACTAATCAGAGGAACATGCGACATGCATTACGTAAAGATCAGAGTAGTTTACCGATTTTTATATCTCGCGGCTTTGAAGATCGATATCATTTCTTTGAAATTCGAATCTCAAGGCAGATGTATTTTCGCAATATCTTGATTGTATTCACGAAATTCGCATGCGGATACAGTTGCTTGTTTAATAAATAGCTTAAATTTTATTGTATGATGATGATACGTCGAAATTATTAGAATTACTTTTAATTTTTGTTCTATTTTTAAAATAAATTTAGAAACAAACAAGTTTTTTTATAAACAAATAAGAATTTTACGCAAAAGAATCAAGTACTACTTCTAATTATTATGAGAAATTTTGAAAATTTTATTTGTTTAGAAATATTTTTAAAAAATTATATACACATATACATATAAATCTTTTGTAACAATTTACAGGACAGTGAACTAACAAATTAACGAATATAGGTATATATTATATATAATATTTTTTATTTATTTTACTATTTCATAATATATTTTTATTTTATTATACAATTTTAGTTATCATCTTATTATTTTTTCATAACATAATATATATTTCAATATAAATAATATGAAGCTAATTTCATATAATATTAATTTATATTATACACAGTAAAAAATCGTGCGTCCATATGTAGAATTTTTCTTGTGTTACCACATTTTGATTATTACTTCAATGTAAAATGATCATACAACTGATATGTTATTATTTTTGTAATATTTTGATGTGTTAGATTCATGTCACCTTTCTAACTTAACAATTGTGTATATCAATTAAAAATGGAATATCATTTTGAGTGTTTTTAATACAATTGTTTCAATTAATTTATATATCTCAAAGTCAAAATTTAACATCTAAGAATTTTTCATTCACATTATACGAACAAAAATGCTTTATTAACATTTTCTTACGAGTTACTGCAACTACTCTTCTATGTACTCT